TTTCCTTCTGCCTGTGGGTCACTCAAGGAAAGATGATGTGGAGCCAAATACAATCACAGCCTTTCCTTTAAGAGAAAGGACTGTGTTTGAAGTGTAGGTCTGAAAGAAAATGGAAGTTGGGGCCCAGTCTGTATTTGCACAGCACCTACCTCTATCTCCCTATGGACCTACAGAAAATCCTGAGAACTTTAGCCCCCCAAACCCTAAGGAGGCCGACTCTAATTCCAGAAGAGCATTAACTGCCTTGTCTAAACTGTGCAGACCCATCATTCCCATAATTTGTGACTGTATAAAAGGGACTCATATGATCGTTTGCTCACATAATTATCCTATTACATATGTACAACTAAGGAAGTTACTCACAGATTTCTTCAGCAAACAAATAATTTTGTGGTTGAAAAAGAATGCAAAAACTTTAAGTTGAAAGTGAGTTAAAGCAAGATTCCAACACCAAAACTGAAAAGAAAAATTTTCCCTTGACCTCTGAAAATAAAATGAGGATAAAATAGATCTGGACTCTATTTAGGCTTTGAAATTATAGTCAAGCCCTCTAGTTTAGCTCTTTCAACACAGACCTCAGTCCCTCAACTCCGACAGGTCACATATGCAAGACATTTTCTTCCAGTAACTCACCTCCCTCACCAGCAGGTAGGCTGAATGTACAGGCAAAGCTTCCTGTAGGCTTTACTACAATAGTGGGCCAGCCAGGCATCCTTAGTACAACAATAGGTATCAAAAATTCCTTCCCCCTAGGAAATACATTAGAAAATTTGGAGATTTTGGTTGTTGTTCTAATTAGTTACACATGACAGTAGAGTGCATTTTGACACATCATACATAAATGAAGCATAACATCTTTGAGAAGATGATGTAGAGTTACACAGGTCACATAATCATATATGTACATAGGGTAATAATGTTCAATTCATCTACTTTATTCCTACCATCATACCCTCTCCCCTTCCCTCACTCCTCTCTGTCTAATCCAAAGTACCTCTATTCTTCCCTAGTGCCCCCCCTTATTGTGAATTAGCATCCATATATCAGAGAAAACATTCAGCCTTTGGTTCTCTGGAATTGGCTTATTTTATTTTACTTAACATGGTATTCTTCAGTTCCATCCATCTACAGGCAAATGCCATAATTTCATTAGTCTTTAAAATGGAGTAATATTCCATTGTGTATATATATATACACAATTTCTTTATCCATTCATCTATTGAAGGGCACCTAGGTTGCTTCCATAGTTTAGCTATTGTGAATTGAGCTGTTATAAATATTGATGTGGTTGTATCACTGTTGTATGCTGATTTTAAGTCCTTTGGCTATTAACCTAGGAGTAGAATAACTGAGTCAAACGGGGGAAATTTTTATTCCAAGTTTTCTGAGAAATTTCTATACTGCTTTCTAGAGTGGTGGCACTAATTTGTAGTCCCACTAGCAACTTATTAATATACCTTTTTCTCCACATCCTCGCCAACATTTATTGTTGCTTGTATTCTTGATAATTGCCATTCTGATTGGAGTGAGATGGAATCTCAGCATAGTTCTAATTTGCATTTCTCTAATTGCCAGAGATGTTGAACAGGTTTTCATAAATTTGTTGATGGATTGTATTTCTTCTTCTGTGAAATGTCTGTTCACTTTCTTAGCCTATTTATTGATTGGGTTAAATTTACAGATTTTTAAAATAGGTCTTTTCCCAAAAAATGCCATTTTTTCAAGGTGTTCTCCTTATTCCTAATTGATAATTCTATATCATTTTAGAAAACAAATTTACTAACTGAATAGCTCTATTAAATATTGTTAGCATCAATGAATGCTTTGGGGGGTCTATATTTTTCTACAACCTCTTTTGTGATGTCAGTTTCCAAGATCTCAGTATTTTATTTGCCTGAACTAATACACAGTGAAATTAAGATCTCTAAAATTTTTCCTTATTTCTTTTTTTAATGAATTGTCAATTGCAGGTTTTTTAAGGCCAATTCTTTGAATTCTTTAACTTAGATAATGTTTTGGTAGATTTTTCTTATACAATTACTTATAACCTTACATATTCGCATTTTAACATGACTTATTGGCTTTTTCTTTATGACTGTCAGCACAAATCAATGCCATAAGAATATTCAACACAATGGCAGATAGTTTCTAAAAACACTTTAGTTCACAGTAAACATTTCATTTTGGAATTATAAAGTCACAAGGACAATTTCCAAGCTTCTAATTTCAACATTACTTAAGACTGTATGAAATACAAATTGGCAATTTTTTTTAAGGACATAGAGGGAGAGTTGTGGTAATTCCTCCAGAAATCCACTTGAAACTCTCACAACTGAAGACTAGGTCTTCATGGTAAGAAGAAAAAATGGATATTGGCCAAGAGCCATGACACATGTCTGAATCCCAGCAACTCAAGAAGCTAAGGCAGAAGGATGTCAGGTTCCAGGTCAATATGGGCTACTTACCAAGACCCTGTCTCAAAATGACATTTAAATGAATTTAAATGAATTCAAAATGAAATTTTTTTTAAAAAAATGGGATGTAGCTCTTCATTCAATCCCTGGTACCAGGGAGAAAAAAAAAAAAGGCTATTGACATAGGATAAATGTTGGGTAAGACATATACCCTCACTGTACACTTCCTCCAGGAGGATATATCACTGCAAAACCATCAAAGCAAAGAATTTTTTTAAAACCATTACATGATTTTTTAATGTATTTGTTCATTGATTAATATGTACAAATAAATTAATGACTGACTGAATGAATACAAGAATATCCAATATGTGCCAGGTACTGCAGACCACATATCTTGGCTATACTGTGAGAATAAAAAACTGCCCAGGTGCAGTGGCACACACCTGTAATCCCAGCAGCTCCAGAGGCTGAGACATGAGAATCGCAAGTTCAAAGTCAACCTCTCAGCAATGGCAAGGCACTAAGCAACTCAGTGAGACCCTGCCTCTAAATAAAGTACAAAATAGGGCTGGGGATGTGGCTCAGTGTGGAGTACTCCTGAGTTCAATCCCTGGTACCAAAAACAAACAAACAAACAAAACTGTCCCTCCCTATTTCTTCTGCTCCTCTTACCCAAATTATGTGTGGGCGGGGGATGGTCAGTGTTTATTTGTTTGTTTGCAATGCTAATGATCAAACCCAAGGCCTCTCTCATGCTAGGCACATGTTCTTCCCCTGAGCCACACCCCCAGTCTCCAAATTGTTTTTATATACTCTCAGAATCACAGAGAATATAAGGATATTAAAGTAGGAAAAGAAGTTATTTTACATTATTCTATAGATGAGGAAACAGGCCTATGAAAGCAAATATCTCCCCCAGGACCCTGCAGTTCAACCTAGCTAGGAGCATGTCATTAATCTTTCTTTAGAGCAACCATGGAAGTTGCCTGCTCACAGTCACACCCAACCACTTCTTGCTTGTTAGAAAATCCCACTTCCCCTGAAAGCAATCAAAGATAACAAATACTTACCTTACTAGTGGCCGTCATGTGACCCAGTTACTGCCACTGAGATGCAAAGGGAGGTCTACTAGCAGATTTCTGAGAAGTATTTTGCCTCTGGAACAAAAGAAAAATCAAAATAGCTACTCCCCACCCCCTTTTATTTTTTTTTTTCCTATCTTTGGAGCTGAACCACAGCTGCCTAAGGTGGTGTGGGAGGGGAGACCCAGCATCTGAGGAGAGTAGAATGGAAAGCACTTGGACTCTCTTCTATCAGCCTTACGCTCACCTTGGGACTGCCTACCTGCAGACCTTATTACATGAGATTATTTATATCTTTATGTCTTGTATTCTGTGACTTGTAGCCTTGTACACTCTGAATGCACTGCTGCTTGGGTTAGTCCTTATTTTCCACCTACCCCAAGGAACTTCTCAGAGCAGGGAATTGGCCCATTTTTTTCATTGTCATATCCCCAGTTCTTAGAACAGAGCCCAGAACATAATCAACTCTTGATAAATGTTTGATAAATGCCCCCAAATCTTCATTGGCTCTCTGCTTCTGTAGAATACAGTCTAAATGATTAACTTGTTGTAGAAGCATTTCCATGATCTGGTCCCAATCTTTCTTTCATCTTTTAAATACACACACCCTACAACTCAAGAAAATAGGACAATTTTCTGTCTTCCCTCAACACCCTGCCTCAGTCCATTTGTGCTACTATAACAAAATACCACAGACTGCATAATTCAAAGGATGCCAAAAAGCTAGGAGTCCAAGATAGAGATGGCTTGAGGTTGGATTGTCCAGTGAGGGCTGCATCCTTCAGAAGGTAGGAATGCTGTGTCACCACATGGCAGAAGGCAGAAGGGCAAGCCAGAGGAAGGCTGTGGGAAGCCTGTCAGCCTTTATCCCATTCCTAAGGGAGAAGTCCTCATGACCTACTCACCTCTTAATACTACCACATTGGCAGCAATGGAATTTTGGAGAGGACACCTTCAGCACCCTATGCTTACTGATGCAGCTCACAATGCTCCTTCCATTTCAATATGCCCCTCCTTCTCCACCTGTATGCTCTTCTCTCACTCTCCCAGCTCCAGACTCTCCCATGGTACTTCTTCTGTTCTTTCCAGGAAAAGGTACATTTCCTAGTCTGTTTTCCCTTCTGTTTGGTGCCATATATCACTTTTACACATCTGGATTAATTATATGGTGTACTTATCTCTATTAGACCATAAGCTCTTTGAGGATAGAAACTTCCCAAGAAACAAACAGAATGCTTTCCCTTAGTAAGTACCTAATATATTTTCATCTGTGAGTGAAGGAATACATAGTATTAAAATGATCCCATTTAAATGTCCATTTAAAAAATAATTTTGAAAAATAAAAAAAAATTACAATTTAGATCCATAATCCTTAGAGCATTGGAAGCAAAGGTCTGAACACATTGCAGGTGGGGAAAGAAACTTGTTGAAAATGCCGAGAGCGAGAAGGGATGCCTTTTCCTTGGCGGATGAGAACAAAGTTCTTAATGGAAGATGATCCCAATCAATAGAGCCAGACAGCTGATTTATATGATGGCATCCAGCTGCAGTGGTGGTCTTTTCTCTGCAGAGTGATGCTGTGAAAGGGGAAAGGGTACTTAGATTGGAATAACCAGGGGACTCCACAAGTAGATCTGTGGATATGGCTCGGCGTTCATAAATACGTTCCCCATCAGCGAGCCACAGGAGAGCTCCCGAGAGCAGCCTGCTCGAGGCTGGATGCTCAAGGCTGGCGGTGGGGCTAGTGCCACTGCTGTATTTTAGCTGCTGCAGCCGCTGCTGCCACTGGGCAGATACCGCAGTGGGGGACTGACCCCACGGTACTCTCTGGTGCCTGGGTTCTGGCTGCAAATGAGAAGTTAAAGGCGGGTAAACTGGGAGGATTGCAAAGACTGACGAGACAGCAAGGAGCAAAAGGAGAGCAAGCCTGAGTGTGAACCAAAATATCAGGCCAAGGGGAGCTGGAGGAAATGTCATCATTGGTGAAGGAGGACTTGGAGAAGAAACTGTTTAAGCCACTCTCACAGAATCTATATGAGTTTATTGAAATTGAGTTCTCGGTGCAGGACAGGTACTACCTCTGTGTGTCAGGTAATCTACTCTTATCGTTCTCATTTCAAAAAGCAAGTCATCTAAAGATGCTTGGGTGGTAGGGGGGTTTGTCTGTGTTTCTTATACAGCACATGTGTGCCTCTTGTGATAGAGTTTAACTGTGCCTAGTTTGAGAATTGGGATTCCATTGAATTTTTCTCAAAGTGCTAAAACGAAAGAAAGAAAAATGATATCATAATCTTTTGATTATTTGTTCAGAAATGAAACTGAATATGCACTTCTGATTTGATTATCTTGTCTGTAATCTTTTAGTTCACTCTCGTGGCATGTAAGAGCTCATTATTGTGTTAGAGTTCATTTTTAAAACTTCAACAGGGAGTTCTCTGTATACTTTTAAATACATTGAAGAATTGAGTTATACATCTCTATTTTTAACCATTTTAGATGACTGGAATTTTCTTTTCATCCTAGGAAAGAAACAAAACCTTAGTTTTATTATTATATTATTATTATTTTATTTATTTTTTTGTTCCATTCATTTGTTTAGATTTTCTGGGATTTAGATTTTCTGTTTTGAAGACAGAAATGAGCCTTTAAAAAATATTTCTCTTATATGAAAAACAATCCTTTAATGGTAGAAACTAGCTTATGAAGATGGAACTTTAAGGATAAGGGAATGTTCTCTAAAGGATTTAAGTAAAACAAGCATTTTAAAATTTATGAAAATTGTCAAGAATAGGCTTTTTCACTTAATTATAGTTTGCTGAAACCTGTGACTTTTTTTGTGTTGAATTTAGATAGAAATGTCTGTGCCACTATTGAATTTAATATCCCAGTCTGTGCCTTTGAATACTTTTCAGAGGCTTAGGAGAAAAGTAACTTAGTGTTCATTGTGGACTTTCCTTTTTAAAGTGCACCTTATTTTCAGAAAACTTGTTATAATTCTTTTCCTGATAATTGGCTTAGAAGGCCTTTCCAAAGGTAACAAGAGGGAGTACTGTAAGGGAAGTACAATATCTCTAAGTTAAGTGCTTGAATTTAAAAAAATATAATAATTTCTAATAAATACAGTCATATTTGCCCAGTATTAAGAAGAGTAATATTTATTGAACACCTTAGCCTCTTTTGCTATACATATAAAATGTGGGAACTGGGCATATCAACAAATAGAAAAAAACATAATCAGCTCAGGAAAAACAAAGAATGTAAATTATGGGGGAAGGTCAATCAAACAATTTAAGTAAGAATCCATGTTGTATCCTAACCACCAAATCACTGTCTCATGAAACATCTCCTTGAATTAAATGTTTGGAATTGATTCAACGATTCTGTCATATATAAGAGAAAAAACAAGGTCCTCTCAAAAATGAAGAGGAAATCCAGGCACAGTGGTGAACGCCTATAATATCAACGGCTCAGGAAGCTGAGGCAGGAGGATCACAAGTTCAAAGTCAGCCTCAGAAATTTATGGAGACCCTAAGCAACTTATCGAGTCCCTGTTAAAAAAGAAAAAAAAAAAAAAACCTGGGTGGGGATGTGGCTCAGTGATTAACAGCCCCTGGGTTCAATTCCTGGTGCAAAAGGAGGGGATAAGAAAGAAGACAATTTTATGATACTCCAGATAAAAGTTCACTAACTTTTTACTAACTTTTCTCCTCTATATCACATCCATCAATTTGTGAGCATTTCCCCCCAATATAGCACATTTTTATGACCATTACAAACCCATTTTGGCAGGACAGTAATTTAAATAATGCTCGACCATCTTATCTTTGGCTATGTTTTACTCAGAAAATTTCCATCGATGGGAATCAAACAAGCTGAATCAAAATTGTTGAGGCAGGTTACTATCCTTGGAGGGCTCTTCCCCTTCAAGGAGAAGTCACATAGTTCTGATTTCCTTGCACACCCTATAATCTAACAGTTCTAAATTTGCAAGGCTCACAGGTCCAGAGTAATCAAATCATATAATGCATTTTTCAAATTAAAGAAATATATTTGGCAGGAGGTGAAGCCTAGTGGTAGAGCATGGGCTTAACATGCCCAAGACCCTGGCTTCAGTCCCCAGTGCCAAAGAGAAAAAAAAATTTTTTTGAAACTTGGCAAAACTTTCTACTTATCTGACTGGAGTCTGTCCTTCTGCGGGAGTCTCACAACCAGAGTATTGTCATTTACTGTTAAATCTTGATGATTACCTGACCAATGTAAAATGCAGATGTCATTAATCCAGTTTCCCCCAATGTGCTGGGATACACATTGAGGATGTCTTGGGTCCTCAGTTCCCTCCACCTCAGAGTTTACATGTCCTTTTCTCCCTGGGATTATCTTCCCAGTCCTCCAACACCATCATCATTGGCAGTCAAAACCAGCATCTCATGAAAGGGGTAGGAGGTCTGTTAGGTGCAGGCACTAGGAAGGGACAAGTCCTGAGAGCAATGAGGAGAGTACAAATGGGTTCAGGACACTCCAACAGACTTGAAATGGCATATTGAAACCTTAGCCAAAACTGGGAGGTAGCAGGGCATGGTTAACACATCCCTTGGAATGCTTGGAATCAGGTCAATCTAGTTGTAAAATCTGGCCCTGCTTTGTCTGCCTATCAGCTATGAACTTGGGACAAGATAGCATCAATGTTAACATCTCTGGTATCAGTGTTAACATCTCTGGCATCAGTGTTAACACTTCTGAAATGGAAATTAAAATGCCTATATTTGCATGAAGTGCTCCCCTATAAAGTCCTTACTAGGAAAAAAATAACGACAAACTATATTCCAATAAATGAAAGGTGAGTTTTTTAAAAGATAGCATTACACTTTTTTAAATGTACAGAAAAAATATATTTACTGTGTGAGCTAGGGTTGTGACTCAATGGTGCTTGTCTAGTATGTATGAGGCACTGAGTTCGATTCTCAGCACCACATATCAATAAATAAATAAAATTTTAAAATTCATCAACAATAAATTAAAATGTTTATATATATTTACTGTAAAAATACATGCTAAAATATGTGTATGTAGGTCTAGATTATAAATATGCATTTGTAGTTAGAATAAAATATATAGTAAAGGTATATAAATATGTTCATTTGATGTAAAATTAATGGAGTATACTGTATACTGTTTTAAATTATATGCCTATTAAGACAGACTATTTTAAGGTATTCTCATGTCTTTCGAAAACAATTTCCATATATAGATATTAATTTGAAATTAAGGGCATTTGCTAGAATTATGAAAATATTATGTGTAATTTTTCTACATATATTAATTTTTGATATCAAAGCAGAACTTTTTTCCTCTGTGAATCAAAGAACCTAACAATTTGACAAATCATTTACAAAAGAGAATTAAGAATATGAAGACAAAACAAAGGGGGTTGCTAAAAGTGATTTTTGAGGCTTCATTTGGAACCACTGTTGCTAAATTTGTGAATTCCCAAAATCTTATAAACAAATCACAAAATTAAATTACTTTTTAAATTTTTCATTTCATGATGATAGTGTTATCTGGGGAGATAGTAGTTTAATCTTTCCAGCACTAAATTGAGAACAAATTATTGTAGTGTTTTTAAGAATGAAAATATAAGATGACATTTTTGAAAAGTTTTCAGACACTTAAAGATGTTATTTTGCTGGGGGGTGTGACTCAGTGGTAGAGTGCTTGCCTGTGCAAGGTCTTGGGTCCAAGCCCTCGGACATTATAGAAACAAACAAAAGATGCTATAATAGTGGTAGAATAACAACTGTGTGGGTCAAATTATATCCAAACAGCTATGCACATATTCTGACAACAGAGCAGAAGAGAGTGCATTTTTTTTATTTTTCAAGTTGCAGATTTACTTAAGGCTGTTTTGATATATCTTCCCATCACAACCTATATTTCCTTTCAAATATGAATTCACTTGGTTTTACAACAATATAGTTCTCTGTTCTCGAAAAGAGAGCACTTGGAGAAATTCTAATTTGATTGCACTTATTCTCTATTCTAACAAATTAGGAAAAGAAGAAATATGGGATTGATTGATGAAAAGTACACTTTACTAAAAATAAAATACAAATATCATAAAACCACAAAAATTAGTTTTCATCAAGATTATGAGAGGAGGAACAAATCTTGAATATCAAAGTCAATTTTATACCTTAAAATAAAAGGTATATCTTGCTCTGTATCTAAAGGTAGAAAAATGCTTCATTATTTTTGCTGAAGTCCCCCCCCCAGACACTCTCTCACACAAGCAAAGTACATCGCACATTCATTGACCATCATGAAATATCTCTATGGAGAAATGTAAATAAAATATTCTGTATTCTGACTCTCCAAATCAGAGTAATTATAAGTGGAGAGTACAACACAGAAATGTTCCCTTTGGGATCTCTTGTTACCTTGTATTTATTATGACTTAGCTTTTACACCTGAAAGGGTTGGTGACTTGGATACTAGAAGTGGAATACTATCATTATCTGTAAAATCAAAGACTTACAATAACATCGTCAGTTAGTCACTCTTGAGACAGATTTTCCCTTTGGTAATTTTCTACTTTGGGAATTTAAATGTGGAAATCAATATGCTCCACCTATTCTAAGGTCCAAGTCACATCAATTGTAGGGTGAACAGAAACTTTATAGCAGAGCTTTTAAGGGAAAAAATATTAAAACTTTTTCATTATTAGCATGGCCTTATTTATTAGGGGATAAAATAAATAGTTGTAAATTATACCTACAGAATGTCAGGCATAGCCAAACGTGGTGGCGCATTCCTGTAATCCCAGCAGCTCAGGATGCCAAGTCAGGAGGATTTAGGATGTGGCTCAGTGGTTGAGTGCCCTGGGTTCAATCCCCAGTATAAAAAAAAAAAAAAAAAAAAAAAAAACTCAGCCAGACTGTTAGGCACAAGTCTGTTTAATTCCATTTCTATACATTATTCGTTTTCATCTTCATGACAACTGTATGCGGTTAAATTTCTGTTTTGCAGATGAGAAACCATGGTCATAAGAAGTAAAGTAACTAGCCCACGGTCACAGGAATTAATTTTAAAACCCA